GATTTTAGCCATAACTAATATTGATATACAAGTCCTTTACGCCCTTGTTAGAGTGTTGCACGCACATACACAAGGACAGCTTTTTTATTTTGATGATGCTTGATGACTTGCTCCTATATTTTACTACTCAAGCCGCCGCCTTCTTTTTGTTACTTATGTACAATGTATTTTGCTCATTGTTATCAGGATGATGAAGGTGACAATGCTTTCCATATAGCAGCAGATGCAGCAAAAATGATACGTGAAAATCTCGAATGGCTTATTGTCATGCTTAGAAATCCTGATGCTGCTGTTGAAGCTAGAAATCACAGGCAAGTGCAAATAAATGCATCGCACTTTTGGGTGGCTTGACCTTCATTTGCAAGAGATTGTCCTCTTTCAGCTTTGTTTTCTATTAAGCAGTTGAACTTTAACAGCTATTTTTTCCCAAGAAACAAATAATGGCTAATACAATTACATGGTTGTGGATGACTTATTGATGACTATTAGGCCTTTATACTTTTGCGTTTAATGAGAACTTTTTGGAACTACAAAAATGTGGGAAGGCTTAGGGTAAGCTATCTACTATATGACCAACTTATGTATTTGACTTTGATGGCAGTGGCAAGACTTTACGTGACTTTTTGGAGACACTTCCTCGGGAATGGATATCTGAAGATCTGATGGAGGCACTTGTAAATCGGGGAGTGCGTCTGTCTCCTACATCGTGAGAAGAGATGATACCATTGTGCTGTTTTTTGATATTTTTTGCATGTCTTATACACCCTTGCGACTAATAGATTCCATATTTCTTGTTTTCTCTATGGTCTAGATTTGATGTAGGAGACTGGGTCAAATTTAAAAGAAGTATAACAACTCCTATGTATGGCTGGCAAGATGCAAAACATAGAAGTGTTGGCTTTGTGCAAGGTGCCCCAGATAAGGACCATTTGATAGTATCATTTTGTTCTGGAGAGGCTCGTGTTTCGGTGAATGAAGTTGTAAAAGTTATTCCCTTAGACAGGGGTCAGCATGTCCAGCTGAAACCAGATGTCAAAGAACCCAGGTTTGAATCTGATTAGTTTCTATATGCATCCATATTCAATTAGATTTTGGTAGTATCTACTTTTGAATAGCTTCTCTTGTTCTTTGATCCTGAATGTAATTTTCATACTGCAATTCCCTTGTTAAAATTCAAATTTTCACTTTTTAAGAAAGGAAGGATCAATATTTTAGGTTCTCTCTTTGAAATATTATAATTATTCACTAGTGAAACCACTTATATTGCTTGTAGTAATTATGGGATTGTAAGGTTGATTCACATTTCTTGCAAAATCTACTGGTCCAAGTGTAGGATAAAGTATTTATGCAGTTCAGAGACCAGTCATGCCTGATACCACATACCCAATAACGGGTTCTACTCCAGAGCCCGTACAAAAAAAAAAAAAAAAGACTATACATTTTTTGGTCACAGCCCCTCATACTGATTTACCTCAATCTTCAGGATTATTTTTTCCTAGGTACCATAGATTAAAACAGACTGAAGTACTTAATAGTTTGGTTGATTGGACTTTTAGATTATTTAACCAACTCATTACCTAAACAATTTTTTAAGCTTACTTGAGTAAACAGCTCATGCATTGTTGCGTGGTTAGTTTTTTGTTTTTCTTTGTTGTCAAGTAGTTCATTAGTTCTTAGTCTTCCCAAGTGATGGCATCTGATACACTTTATCTTGTGTTGAGCTTTTACTTTTGCCTCTGTCATATTTAAGTCCTTTTTATATGCGCCTTCTTATATCAACTTGTAATCCTTATTCAACGTGATAAATTTGTTGACTAAACCTTGTTTGGTTATCAGATTTGGGTGGCGTGGCCAGTCTCGCGATAGCATTGGTACTGTATTATGTGTCGATGATGATGGTATCCTACGTGTTGGCTTTCCTGGAGCCTCCAGAGGGTGGAAAGCTGATCCAGCAGAGATGGAGAGAGTTGAAGAATTCAAGGTTGGGGACTGGGTTCGAATTCGCCCCACTCTTACAACTGCAAAGCACGGATTAGGATCTGTTACACCTGGTAGCATTGGTATTGTGTATTGCATAAGACCAGATAGTAGTCTGTTGCTGGAATTAAGCTATCTTCCAAGTCCATGGCATTGTGAACCAGAGGAGGTTGAGCTTGTAACTCCTTTCAGGGTGAGCGAGATATGTTGATATTTGTTGTACAGTTCTTATTCGTAGTCTTTTCAAACACTAATAGTGTTTACTTTGAAGATTGGTGACAGGGTATGTGTGAAGCGATCTGTTGCAGAGCCTAGGTATGCATGGGGTGGTGAGACACACCATAGTGTTGGAAAAATAAGTGAGATAGAGAATGATGGGCTCCTGGTAATTGAAATACCAAATCGACCAATACCATGGCAGTCTGATCCTTCTGACATGGAGAAGGTGGAAGATTTCAAGGTAATATCTAATTTTTTTCATTCATATTATATTTATTAAAAAAATACAACAGGATGGCATTTTTTATTCTTCTTCTTATCCACATATTGCCGTTTCTACCATGCAGGTAGGTGACTGGGTTAGAGTCAAAGCTTCTGTACCATCCCCTAGATATGGATGGGAGGATATCACAAGGAACAGTGTTGGGATAATTCATAGCTTGGAGGAAGATGGTGATATGGGTGTCGCCTTCTGCTTCAGGAGCAAGCCTTTTTCTTGTTCTGTCACAGATGTGGAAAAGGTGCCCCCTTTTGAAGTGGGGCAAGAGATTCACATGATATCATCTGTTACTCAGCCAAGACTTGGATGGTCAAATGAAAGTCCAGCAACTGTTGGAAAAATTGTTAGGATTGATATGGATGGAGCTTTGAATGTAAGAATTCTTATCTTAGACATATATACAATATCTTATATGAGCGGAGGACGAGAGAAAGAGATCAAGGGAGAGGAGGAACAATACCTAAAATGTTTCAAAATTCTAATGTCTTTTAGTTTTCTGTTGAAGTTTATCTTATCTCATGTCTTCTTAACCCATCTGTCTCATCCCTTTCTCTTTTTAATTGAAGATACATAAAAAAAGAAATTAAAAAGGAACTTTTGCTAAATGAACACTTCCATTTTTTCGGTTAAATTAGTTGTAGAACATTTTTTGTTTTCTGCTGGTGCATGACAATTTCTGCAACTATATATTATATGCTTCTGTGTACGTGCAGAATTCAACAACCATTAACAGGACCCTTTTGCTTGTTTGTTATGTAGACAAGAGTCACTGGCCGACAGAGCTTGTGGAAAGTTTCTCCTGGAGATGCGGAACGACTTTCTGGATTTGAAGTTGGTGACTGGGTACGTTCAAAACCAAGCCTGGGAACTCGACCAAGCTATGACTGGAACAGCGTTGGAAAGGAAAGTTTAGCTGTCGTGCACAGTGTTCAAGATACAGGTTACCTGGAGTTGGCTTGTTGTTTCCGTAAAGGCAGGTGGATAACTCATTACACAGATGTTGAAAAGGTCCCATGCTTTAAAATTGGGCAGTATGTCCGGTTCCGGACTGGGCTCGTTGAACCAAGATGGGGCTGGAGAGGGGCTCAACCTGATTCTCGAGGCGTCATAACTAGCGTTCATGCTGATGGGGAAGTGAGAGTGGCTTTCTCTGGTTTGCCGGGGTTGTGGAGAGGAGATCCTGCAGATCTTGAAATGGAGCAGATATTTGAAGTTGGAGAGTGGGTGAGATTAGAAGATCAAGCAGGTGCTTGGAAATCCATTGGACCGGGTAGTGTTGGAGTGGTGCAAGGATTGGGATACGATGCAGATACATGGGATGGAACCACATCCGTTGGATTCTGTGGGGAGCAAGAAAAATGGGTTGGGCCTACCTCTGCTCTTGAAAGGGTGAACAGGCTGATGGTTAGCCAGAAGGTTAGGGTTAAGCTGTCTGTCAAGCAGCCAAGATTTGGGTGGTCAGGCCACAGCCATGCAAGTCTTGGAACCATATCCACAATTGATGCTGATGGCAAGCTGAGAATATACACTCCAGCTGGTTCAAAAGCTTGGATGCTGGATCCATCAGAAGTGGAACTTGTGGAGGAAGAGGAGCTTCACATCGGTGACTGGGTTAGGGTTAAAACATCAGTTTCAACTCCAGCCCACCAGTGGGGAGAGGTGAATCGTTCAAGTGTTGGGCTTGTGCATCGGATGGAAAATGAGGAGCTCTGGGTGGCGTTTTGCTTCACAGAGAGGTTGTGGCTTTGCAAGGCATCGGAAATGGAACGGGTTAGGCCGTTTAAAGTGGGGGACAAAGTGAGGATTAGAGAAGGGCTGGTGACCCCACGGTGGGGTTGGGGAATGGAGACCCACGCGAGCAAAGGACAGGTAGTGGGGGTCGACGCAAATGGGAAGTTAAGGATTAAGTTCCGATGGAGAGAAGGGAAGCCGTGGATTGGAGACCCTGCTGATATTTCTCTTGATGAAAGGACATGACTGAACTTTTCCAACTAGTGCTTCTTTTCACGGGCTTCCTCTGCCTATCGGGGTTTTCTCCCTCTCGACTGTGCAGACAAGCGGGAATTGCATTGTTACGGCAGCATGCAATCAGATCTGCCTGGAAACTATACCTTTGTTGTAATGGGCTCTGAAAGGACAATTTGCTTTGTTAAATACAGAATGATTACAAGAGACGGATAGATAGGAATCGGGGGGAAATTGCCTTTCCCTACCGTTAATTATATACGACACACAAGGGAGGCGAAGAACGACGTGGCAGTTTGCCATTTGTGTTTCATATATGTGCAGTTGACAAGCTGTAGAGGTATATATATATATATACAAGGTTATATATATTGATGTACAAATTGAACCCTTAATCTTGCTAGTTAATACATTCTTTTAGTCCATTTCTCTAAAGCTTTTCTCGTTGGTGTTTTATTTTGTCTGTAAACGAATTGGCAGTAGCTTTATTGCCATTCATTATTTGGATGAGAAAGTTGCAAGCGCCAGGGGGTTCGTCTAGTGTTCTGTGATTCATTTGTAAATCTCTTGGTACTTACAAATTCCTCCTACAAATGTAGCCTAAATTACCGGGATAGAGGCTTTCTCCTTGGGATTTCAACGCCTGATTGGAACCGAACAAACGAATCCAAAATTTTTCTGGCATTGCAAGAGGAACTCATGTCAAAGTAGCACGATCTAATTCAAAAATCTCACCCAATCAAGCACATCTAGCATATTACCTGCACGAGGAGTGTAGCACGCAGATCATCCACTGCAATATCAGGCCCTGCAACACACTTCTAAATGATTCATTCACGTCAAGGATTTCAGACTTTGGATTGGCTGCGGAGTGATCAAACTCCTAGTAATTCAGTCATCAGAGGGACTAGAGGATATCTTGCACCAGAATGGTTCAGGAATATTCCGATTACTGCAAAGGTTGATGTTTATAGTTATGGGGTCATGTTATTGGAGATTATCTGTTGCAGGAGCAGCCTTGAATGGAAAGGGAAAATGAAGAACAAACAATACTAATGGTTTGGGTTTACGACTGCTACAAGGGAAAAACATTAAAGAAGCTGTTGGAGGATGAGAAGGAGGCAAGAAATGACATGAAAAGGCTGTTGAGCAGGCTTGAAGGAGTGGTGGATGTATCCATGCCTCCATGTCCTTCTCTCTTTAGTTCAATTTGCTGAAACCTACACGTTACGCATAGTCTTTGAAATGCCGTAGCCATTTTCTATTCACTAGAAAAGCATAAAAAGTCTTGTATGTTTAGGATCATAACATCTTGTTCTCCACATACATATTTCAGATTTGACTGTTGCAGACATGTTGCCAATTAGTTACAACCCAAACACAAGCAATATTTCAAAACGCATGCAATATCTTAATCTCACCTTATGTGCTCTTCCTACTGATATGAAAAAGTAAAGGAAAGGTACAGATTACAGCCTTGTTGCGTTGTTGGCAAGTAATCCGTTAGATCTGGACCTTCATCACTATTTGAACATGAACGAAAAAGAGGACAAAATGGTCCGTGAGATGTGGGGGTTTTTGGGGATAAAACAAGAAATAGATGCTTTAATGGAGGAACAAAACTTGCAAGGAGTTCTGTTTCTCTCTTTCCGATTGATGAATCCTCGAGAAGGATTTGTTTGTCCTTAAGTAAAAGGCATGTATGTCTCCCCACATGTCCTGGATTTGCCGATGTAAAAAGATGAGACTCTGATTGCATTGTGCGCCTTAGTATGCTAGATTAGTAAGCAAGATTATTGCATGAATGTAACACTATTGATTCATACTTTCTTAACAGAATTAATGTTTCGCAAAGATTTTAACAAGTAAAGATCGTACTAGTCGGATTACATTCCATCAAAACCAATATTTCAAAAGATAACAAGAATAAAAATCATCACCAGAAAGTAAAGAGTACTAGTTGATCTTAATTGCATGAACTACTAGACTTGAGAAGCAAACCAACAGGAGAGTTGGTTCTGATGCTTTCCCATGATAAAATCATTCTTCAAGTGGATTGAGCACGTGACCAATGAACAAAACAGTTCCAGTTATTTCCTCTCTGATAAAAAACATGAATGGGTGATCAGCCACAAAGTCTATGGTTTTAATCGGTTCAGCACAATCTGCCTCATGACAGTGAAAAATAGAAACAGCTGCAGCTTTTGTACCACCTTCGTCAACTTCAATGACGGACTTATGGATTATTTCGGCGTCACCAATGCCCGACTCCACTATCTCACTGAAATCACCATTACCATCGAAAGGCAACACCAGTCCTAACTTCATGAGTACTTCGGAAGCTAAAAAGTTAGACTTAATCTTAAACTTTGGGATTTTCAAGGCCCCAGGTTTACGTTGTATTTCGGGGAGATGGCAATCTAAGAAATCAGGTTCAGAACAAACTCTCTTGACCAAATCTGGGAGCCCATTTCTTGAATTTGGAAGTAAAAAGTACGTAGAAAACCGCCTCTCCTTGTCTTTGCCTTGCTTGTAAGGAAGCTTTGAGACTTTGAAGCCGTCAAAGGCTTTCACATAATGCCATCCGTAGCTTTCTATCATGAACGGCGCCTCAACAGTACTACCATCGAGAAGGCGAAATTTGCGCTCTTCTGTCTCCGATGGATCAAACTGATGGCTCCAAACTCCTTTGAAGTATATCGTATTTAAAAGTAAAAGCATGGTATTTTCATCAACTGACCCAGGAGGGAGAGCCTCAGGGATAAGGCCCTTCGTCTCCTTTTTGGTCCATGAGTTCACTTGAACCCGCGCTTTGTCAGGGTCGGTTCCAAAGCTAACTTCTTTGATGACCGCATTGTAATCATTGACCAACATGCGTTTGAAAGAGGGTTTGACAGTGAGAGACTGCTCAACCCAAAGGCTATTGGCACAGTTCACGCAGGGACCACCTCTAGTGGATCCGTCGGACAAGACCAGAGGGACAAGATGGGAGAAGTGGGAGTTGAGTTCATCGGAGGACTTGGACTTGAGGAAAGAGAGCAACTGTTTCTTGGTTGGACCCTTAGATCCTGCAGTTACCGAAGACAACAGGACCTGGAGGGACAGCGGCGAGTACACCATGTTCTTCCCTTTGCCTTCGGTCGTGAGCAGCTGCTTGGTAATTCTGAGTGCGACATCGGTTAGGTTGCTGATGGTTTTTTTGAGATACATGGTGAAACTGACGGATTGATCGGCGCGGCAGGAATCACCAGGCAGGCAAGTGGGAGAGATTTAGATAATTGATATCAAACCCTAAAACACACACTCACGGCTCTCTCTCTCTCTTTCTCTCTATCTGTGAACAAACCCTAGTAACTAGGCTTTTATATACACATCGAATAAAACCATTTGACCTTTGGAATCCCCATCTATTACTTTCCGCACAAGAAAGTGTACCGTTACGTAACCTTAAAGAAAATAATTTAATAAACATATCTTCTTTATAAAAAATTGATTAAATAGTTTATTTTATTTTATTTAAAGTTTATTTCTTCATTTTTCTCAAAAAAAAAAGGTTTATTTCTTCACGTTATTATTATTATTATTATTATTATTTTGTAAACTTCAAGTTATTTCTTTGGCATTTCATTTTTTCCTCCTATTATTAATGCATTTATTATGCATCTCTTTATGATGATTTCATCATATCTTTTTTACTGTATATTAATTATAATATTTATTTTAGTAAATTAAATTGAATATTTAAAAAGTAGTTATCAGGTACATAACTATCGGCATGGTTTATTGTTCATTTGAAATCTAAACGTACTAAAAGTCGGTATATTTAGATTTCAAATGAATTATTTAGTTGCTTTTTTTAACTAATACTGAGGAATTATTTTAATTAATTAATTTTTTATAGAAAAAGTCATTAATTGAGATGGAATTCAAGGGATTGGGCAAATTAAATTTTCTAAACCGTAGGCAATTAGTTGCACGGTGAAGATGCTTTTAAACTAATAACATGCAATTTAAAAAATAGAAAAATGATGTTGTGGCAATTGATCATAGCTCTTTAATCAAATCTTAAAAATGAACTCATTTTAAAATTATTTAAAAAAAATTAGACTTTTTTTAATTAAACATTTGTTACTTTCCTATTTTAGATTAAAGTGCTTTCACTTTTGATTAAACCCTATTTTTAAGTTCTATATATATTCTTAACTTAAGTTTTTTTTAGATTCAATTTAAATACAATTTTATGTCAAAAATACACTCAGTAATATTAATCAAGTAATTGCTATTTTTAAGGAATCTCATCTCTTCCTCAATTTAAGGATTCTATTATATGTCTAAATTATTTAAGAAATTTCAACATATCTAAATTATTTGTAACTTAGTTTTCAAAAATTGTTTGTACCATCGTTCTTTAAAAATAAACATTGACATGTACCAACATAATTTATTCTCAAGTTGAAACGTTCCTATGCTAAATTAAAATGGATTCATACCTAACTAAAATGTGTGCTTACTAAATTGAAATGTACACATGTCGAAATGTACCCATATTGTCTTGAAACGTACCAATAAGTTTTAGGGTTACACATAACATGCCATTAACTTTTCACATACCAAAATTATGACAATATAAACATATCAATAGCTTGGTACGTATCTAAACAAATAACATATCAAAGTACTAATTTGTACACAAATTTAGATTACATAACATACCAATAATGTACCAAATTATCAGTACGCTATTTTTAATACATAGGACATCAATAAATGAATATATATATATATATATATATATATATATATATCATTTGGAGTACATTGGTACGTTTAAAATATAACCATTTGGTTTTTCTTTTTGTTAAAAAACCCATCATCGTTTTTGCACCGACAACTCAACTTGTTTTTGTTATAGTAGAAATCTTATTGTTTTTTTTTTTTTGAAATATATTGAATTAATGCACATAAATTAACAATATATTCTTGTGCAAGATTTTAGTAATTTATTATATATTAGATTTAATCAGTAAATTAATTAAAATTGAAGAAAAGTAGTTTGATCAAATCTCTAAAAACCTTAGATGTTTTGTCTAAGAAATTCAAAAACCCACGTTAATTGATTAGGAAACTATCAAAACCCCCGATATACACTTCCACCCTTCGCTTCCCCCTAAAAAGTCCCATTTTTCTTCCGGTCCCTAAAACAATTACAGCCTGCAATTGCGAGGAAAATGAAACGGGAGAGGGAGAGACTCCAAAAAGCGTGACGATCTCCAGATGTTATCTCACTCACTCTCACCATTCTCAAAATTGAAGACGATGACTTCCCCTTCACACCGAGTTCGCTCAAGCCTTCAACCAACCACATCGATCGCTGTTGAGGATGAACACCTCCAATTGACTACGGCTTCTCTGCTCAAATCGGCTCCCTCTCACGGCCAAGTGGTACTTTATCGACCTCTCTGAAGAACTACACTCGTTAATGCGTGCAAAGGTGTATACCAATTGCCACATTGCAAAGGTGAATAGAATGTTTACGTACAAGGACATGTCACACGCACTCATTATTGAGTACACACCATAGCATGTATTTTATACTGCATGTGCTAGTACCGATCGATATTGGGAGTGATAAATTGATCCCTACTTCAATCACGTGAGCCACTGAATCTATATGGTCCCTCCATTATACTCTTTGGATCAAACTCTATGTCAAAGAGAGGAGGTTTAATATTGCTAGTTTAGCATGGCTTTATCTAAGACTAAAGTTACCTATTGTCCCAAGAAGCGTGACTCAGCAAGCAGTTAAGCCAAGTAATTGGATTGACGAGAGATTTTAAGAAGGTACTTCGAAGATTATACCAAATATGTTCAGTGCCTCGAAGGTGGCTAATCTCAATGAAAAAATTACTATTGCGCTTATCAATCAACATGGTAATGATGTTACTAACAAAAAAATCCCCCACAATTCTACAAGTAGATCATCATCATCACCACCACCACCTACGCCTTCGGTACTGCTCCAAGCGGTGAACTTGCCAAAAAGAATGGTCCTCCTCTGCCGGAAAATACTAGAGGGAATCTGGTTGGGGATTCCATAGTGCTCAACGGAAAAAAAAAAATGATTTGGAGTTGCATGAGGTGGTGGCAAAGATGGGGAAAGGGTTGATATTTTTCAGCGACAAGGCAAATAGATTCAAAGGTGAAGAGGGTTCCTCTATTCTTTGCAAGTCTCGTAGAGAGGAAGAGGATGATCAACTTACAAGGATGGGAATGATATGTTTCTGGAAAGCCTTGGTGACCATGGAAGAACAAGAAGAGATGACTAGATTTTAACGCAACGAGATGCTTCTTGCATTTGCTGCCATGAATCCAAGTGTAATTGCCAATCACTGCCGCATATGATGGTGGCGCTGCGGTGGCGATGAATTTTTCCTCACCAATGTCCTCCATAGGATGATGCGGTATGAAATTATTTTTCTTATTCAGTATTCTAAATTACTCTAACCTACAAGAAGAGAAGGGATTGAACTCAAGTGCAAAAGGTAACAATATCTTCAAAGAAGAGCTTTGGAAATTTGTTTCCAACTTAACAATAATGTACCATTGCAGAAAAAGGCAAGTAGACGTTTGGATATGCACCAGAAAATGTTAATGCTTAAGTGAAGAATCTAAACAAGATAAGACAATACACTCCGAATCAAAGTGTCAGAGAGATCAACTGTTAACAAGAATAAACTTGAAGGGACTACGTAACTTCCAACAGTAGTATCGTTAATAGTGTTGTTACTTGATGAACACCTAACTAGCAAGTCAATGTTACATCCTCCCCACCCTACCCCGTACCTGTCATCTTTTCTGCATGCCACTTTGAGAAGCCTTCCACCAGGGCATCCCTCATCCATGCATGCCGGCAACTCACAATAGCCTCTGCGACAGTCAGCCATGTTCTGTTTCGGGTGCTCTGCTCGGGCCATGACTCAAGCTCCTCCTTAACAAACAAGGCAAACATAGCAGCTTTACATACACCTTCTGGACTGAACTCATCCTGGTGTGTTTTGCTCTTAAAATAATAATACCCCAGGAAACCCTGCAAACCAAATAGATAAACAGTTGGTTTGCTTTATCCATGTACTGTGAATAGAAAGAACATATAAAATGATTTGGCAAAGAATTCTCGAAACATATGCAGCAGGCATAAACACACGATGCTAACATACAAAGCCAACCAAAATTATATACATCTTTATTTTTATCCATGACAGACGAAACATATTGATTAAATTGGATATCGACATCTGGAACTTAAGAAACCCCGAGTTCCTTCGTCTATCAGTAACATAGGATAGGGAAAATAACTACTCTGGACTACAATGCCCTGAGAGGCCAGGTCAATTAAGTTAGCTTTCTACAACTATTAAACCCACCTGGTGCACACATAACTTACAGTTCTGTCAAGGTAAATCGTACTGCCCACAATGAAATGTAATAACTACGTAAAACGGATCTAATGAAAACATTAGACCCAATGCTTAAGTCATGTGAAACACAAGACATCCAATCAAAACACAAACTGATAAACAATCTAAAACAATTAAAGCCTTAAATGGTGCATCATCTCACAACAAAGCAAAAGTAAAAAATTGCAATCCCCAAAAGCATTTCAATGTTGAACACAAGAAATCCAAATAACACAGAAACAACCTAAGCAATTCTAGCCTTCAATAGATGAAGAGAAAATATTCAAAGAAGTTAGAGGTGATAATATGGAAAAAGCTCAAGAAATAAAGATTAGAACAAATAAAAGTTAAAAAAATGTATTTCACCATTAGCTCTCCTCGAACTCCAGCTTCTTCCACTGCTTCCCTTGCGGCAGCCTCCTCAACAGTTTCATCATTCTCCCAGCCTCCCTGCATTTGAATAACATATTCTTAAATAAAACAGAAACTTATTATAAGTTCTCTACTACCCGCACCCAAAGCACATAATCACTTGTGCAATCGTAATTACTGTTCACCGTAGTAAAAGATGTTTCTACCCTTGTTTTCGCCCCTCCAAGTTTTAGTAGCTAAGCTTACGTATCGACAAGTACTCTTGGCAAATCCGGGTATTGGAGATTACCTTCGACGATATAATTCTCATCCTACCTTATTGTACTTTACTTATACTCTGACATCACATGTGAATTGGGTTCATTCCCGCTCACTAGCGCACTCTTATAATTAGGCACTTTTAGGTTTAAATTTATTCACATTTTCCAGATCACTACCATTTATGGCTTTTTCACCCTTCGGGTGTCGGCCAGCACAGACAATGAAATAGATTGATTATGACACATACGATCGGCAAGAGAATGTCGCAGTTGACTCCAACTTCCACCTCCTACTGTCTAGTCTAGATGAGTGTAATAAAGCATTTTCTAAACCTGTCCCTTCCACCAATTACCCATTACAACAATAGAAATAAGTGATGCCTTGAGAAATGTCTTTCCTTGGAAAACGACTATAGCCACTCATTGTTTTGGAGTTCCAACCATTAACATATCAAATATTTTGCTTCTGATCATAGGCATTCCATACGAAATTCCTTTCCAAAGGGAACCCAAAGTAGTTCCTTGTTTCGTTTTAGTCATATTTAAATTACCCACCACTAGTGTCAAACTCATCTCATAAAAATTTAAAAAAAAAAAAAAAAAGCAAAAAACAGAGGAAACCAAAGCACATGAGAAATTGTAACGTATAACCCTATAAGTATGTAGAACATAAATTTTTTACTAAGTCAACAAAGAAGTCACCACATTTAACTCATCAAAAATAAGGAACCAGTTTATTCTATATCTCATCATGAAAGAAAATCATGCTGAGAAACAAAACTAAAGCAGGAGAGAAAAAGAAGAAGTCCGACAGTGTTAATATAGTTCAAATGCTAAGGGGCACTATAATCATAACAAAAGCATCCGTATCTACATTTGCATATTTTGGGCCAGTTAAAACGACAATTCTGTTCCCAGCCTTGCAGATGTCAAAACATAAGTGAGACTACATGTCTATGGGCTTCATAATTGATTGAATTATGGACTAAACAAATATCAAAGGAACTAACCATCATATCTATTAAGGACTTCTTCTCAGAAGTTTTGTAATTTCTGCAAAATTAAATTCATGAATCATATAAAGCCTCGTTCCATTCCAAAACAGAGCAGGCTAGTTCCAGTACAGCCGGGACTTGGGCTTTACTTTCTAATATTTTCTGCTCTAGGTTTTCAAAGCCCAGAGTCATGATATGGAACCTAAATTTATCTATAGCTATCAAATGAAAAGAAACTAGTTTGAAGGTTATACCTAAATGTTTCCCAAATAAAGAAATCCTATCAACCTAATTTGATCTTGATCCCTAATCCCACAAGCATAAGTTACTTTGAAACTAACATTTTTCACAACTTTAACTCACTTTTACTGTTAACCCGTTAGTTAGGCGACAGAACAAAAATAAAATAGTAATCTCTCAGGAAGAAAGACCACAAAGTTGTTGACATTTTCAAACTTCAGCAGAGAATATACATACCTTTGGAAACAAAAGACCTGGTCCACTAGGTGAGTTAATCATAAGCACCTCAATGATCTTCTCAGAATTGGCCTCATCAGTCTCATCAGAATTTTTGTATCTAAATGGAATACACCTGTCAAGGTCATCTGAGTTAGCTACTTCTTGAGAAAAAAAATAAAATACTTGTTCACATACATAAAATGGTACAGTAAGTAATTTCAAATCTACTTAAAGATGAGAAATAGAAAGACAAGAATCTAATGCATATAGAAATGTCTGAATGGTCACTCAGCCCTGCCAAATAATTTAATGTATAACCAATAACCATGCTACCAAGCTCACACTTTATATTATCTATATTTAATCTACACGTCATTCGGTTTTGATGTATTAGTAAAAGAAATTATATAGTGATTCTTGTCCATAAAAAAGGAAAGATAAAAACTTGTACAGTGAAACTTCATATCAGGATAAAATAAGGCATGTTTAATAGAAGTTTATTGATGACTACAAAACTGCAACATATTGGGTTCGTTTACAACCTGTCCATAATAACTCAAGTACTTTATGTAATTTATCACTCACAGAGTTTCATCAAAGCAACAGTAGACTCCCTCTAGAAAGAGAGAAGCCTAAAGAATCGAACATGGTTCTCTGTGTCCTCATTTTTTTCCCTTTTCCACCTTGTCAAAATTTGAAAGAACAATGAACATACTCTTCCTAATTATAACAAAAGGCTGAAGCAGGAATAATGTGAACAGTAGCCGAACTGGTATTAAGCATATAAAGCACTGATTACAAAATATATCCAACCAAAGACCAGAAACGGAAAATTCATTCGACAACATGTCAAACTGGCCCTAAACACGGCATAATACAGAGGGCCACCACCCTAGACAACTCTCCCAACCCAAAGTGTAGACATGAAACATAATGCTAGTCATATGCTATCTGCCAATTTTGTGCCACCACAAAATGATGCATGACTTGAGTCACACGAAAATTGATTAAGCTCCTCATTTTCAACACAGAAAAACCAAAACATGTCAGTTCATCTAATTGCAGGTATCACCCAAAAACCAATGCAGAATTTAAATTTGCGTAAAAAATAGCAGCATCTGATAACAAATTCTGGTCAAGATATGATTAAAACGGCCCAAATGGTTGGCTAGAAGCCAGGTCCTCAGGTTGGAATGTGGGCACAGACAATGATTGCATCAATGCAAACATTCCCAAATAATATCACCAAGATATTTAATAAAGTCCCAAAAGCTTACAAATTTGAGGAAGTATAACCACGCCATATCTGTCACTTTCATATGTGATCCAACAAAATCTCTCATCGATAACTTATAGACGAAACTCAGGTAAGTCAATACAAGGTCATTGCTTGTCCTAATAATCCCACATTCTCTACCTGCCTTATATAATAAATATGTATAAATACACACACAATCAATAAACAAAAGAAACCATTGATCTCACCCTTCTTAAAGATCCAAATGGTTGCCATCAACCAGTCAAAATCCAAAAAACAAACCACAAAATACCACATCACAAGAAAAATCCTCCAACTTTGGAGACACATTGGTCCACCTCCACCACTAGAACACCACGTAAACAAACAACATCAACATCAATCCAAATCAAACATATACAAACGAATATATACACACACATATAAAGACATCCATATATGTTTGTATTTATAAATCAATAATATACAGAGAAGAAATGTAAGTACCCGGCAACAAGGCGACAACCGGCCTCGTAGCGTTGCTGATGCCGACCCGTACGGGCCACTATATCACACATACTAAGCGCCCAAACCAACAAAAATCAATCCTTTTTCTCCTCTTTTTGGAAAATCTTCAACAATTTCTCTCCTCCTCTTCCGCCATTGAAATCGTTCTGGTTCTTTAATTTGGTTTTTTACGCGATTTTACAATGCTCACGCCCGCACCGGATAAATCTCCCAGTACTGGTTCTCTGGGCTTCGACGGCGGCAACCGGCGCTCCCTCGCATCATCCAATGGCTGTGGATTTCATATTTCGTTCTGTTTTTGCTTTAGGGTTTGGTTGCAGAGAGAAAGAGAGGGAAAAATGAGGGCTGGGTTGGGGGAGAGAGAGAGAGAAAATAAAATTAAAAAATAAATAAATAAATAAAAGCGGTTAGACCGGATCGAATCGGACGGTGATGGAGGTCAAAGTCACGTGGTCGATAGATCAAATGCGGCCCCACTATTGGAGAACAATTGGGTTCTATTCTATATACACACGCGGTTGGGATCTGGTGGTTTTTGGATCATCTTAACGGAATGGACTTCCTTAGTGTTTCTTACACGTGGCGTACTGTGGAGGATTAGCTGGCAATCGGTCATGATATTGGTTACAGGGCGTAGTCAATTTGGCACAAAGTGGTTGGCCGTTACAGCGAATTTTTAATCGTTGGAAGAAGATTCAGCGGATTGGTAGTCCACGACATACTGGTTTTATTTTTGCGCTTTTGGAGGGAATGGTGACGATTCAATGTCGGTATCCAGTGAAGGCTTCTGGTCCATTGGATTGAGTTCTTTGCTATTAAGGGTCTTAGCTTTGGAAAAGGATCCCGCGATGATCCTTTCCTTTTCTTGTGAATCTTAAAGATCCCGTGATCATGATCGTAACCGTTCATTATATATTATGTGGTTAAAAATCATTTCAAAATTTTAAATTTTAAATTAAATATAAATAGTATCTAACAAAAACTGACCTCACAATGTACGATAAATTGTCACAATCATGGAATCCCTAAGAAAAGAATCACGGTCATGATCACGATCATAGTCACGGTTACGAGGATCCTAATCCCTTAGCTTTACCCAACTTAATATCTTTCAATCAATATTTTTGAATAAAATATATGGCGAGGCCAAATTTGCTAACTTAGAGAAGTAACAACCTGATCGTATAAACATACCAGGTTAATTTCTAATTCTTCTATTTGTTAATTAAGTTGTTACGTCCGTTAAAAGAATGTTTTTCTTATGTGGCATATCACAACTTACTAGGGCTGGGTTCAGTTGGCAAACCGTGCCAAATTTCTTGTGTCACCTGCCAGCCACATGTACAAAATTATCGAAAATCAGTTCCCGCTAGCCAACGGTCTTCTTGCGGTTGCCAAAAATCGATTCAGCCAAAATTATTGGCTGGTTCAGTTGGTAAGTGGCACAACTAATGGTTTGCAAAAAAGCTACAAAAACAACAGCTCAAGACCATGCACCAACCAATAAACAACAAACCATAAAAGAGAAAAAGAAGTTGATGTTGCAATTTTTCAATTGATGATAAGCCAACATAATAATGACTTAACAAATTAAATGGAAATCAAATCAAAACTTAATAAGCCAACAACAATGTCAACAAACATAATCCAAATAGATATAAGTTAAAAAACTCAAAAGTCTAACTAATATAATTGTCTAAATTCAATTGTAACAACTAATGCATAAACAAAAAACTCAAAACTCTAAAGTATGGTTCTGGCTATAAGACCCCCTTATTATAATCCCAAAACAAATAACTTGTGAATTATTCCATGAATCAATTTTGCGAAGCACTTCGAATTGATGTTCCTGCTTGAGATGTAGAACCATCAACTATTTCAATTCAAATGTTACACAAAAAAAAGTATGATTAGAATAAGAAGTAATATTGAAATATAAATTAAAAATATCAATAAACATTGTATTGAAGTACTATAACTAGAATTAGAAAAAAAATATGGCAATACTTATATTTTTCTAGTTCTTCACATGTCAAGCATGTAAAAAATACCTAAAATATCTAAATAGAAAAAAAATAATATATATATATATATATATATATATTGGTAGGTGTAAGATCCCACATCGCCCAGATGAGTGATCCTTATATGTATATTCTCATCCCCACCTAGAACGAGGCCTTTTGGGAGCTCATTGGCTTCGGGTTCCGTATAAACTCCGAAGTTAAGTGAGTTCGCACGAGAGCAATCCCAGGATGGGTGACCCACTGGGAAGTTCTTGTGTGAGTTCCCAGAAACAAAACCGTGAGAGTGTGGTCGGGGCCCAAAGTGGACAATATCGTGCTACGGTAGAGTCAAGCCCAAGATGTGACAATTTGGTATTAGAGCCTAACCCTGGCCGTGGTGTGCCGACGAGGATGTTGGGCTCCTAAGAGGGGTGGATTGTAAGATCCCACATTGCCCATAGGAGTGATCCTTATATGTATATTCTCATCCTTAACTAGAACGAGGTCTTTTGGGAGCTTACTAGCTTCGGGTTCCATAGGAACTCCGAAGTTAAGCAAGTTCGCACGAGAGCAATCCCAGGATAGGTAACACATTGGAAGTTCTGTATGAGTTCCCAGAAACAAAGCTGTGAGGGTGTGGTCGGGGCCCAAAGTGGACAATATCGTGCTACGGTGGAGTCGAGCCGGAGATGTGGTGGGGGCTCAGGCCGAGATGTGACAATTTGATATCAAAGCCTGACTAGACACTAGTTTAATTAACTATCATTACTTACGTTTCCCTGCTTTGATTTCTTTATTCTTCACACATTGATTTATAACCAACATTTAACCACTAAAATCATAAGGTTGGTGGAATAAATTGTCACATCCCCACCTAGGCCCCACCACATCCCGAGCTCGACTCCACTGTAGCACGATATTGTCCGCTTTGGGCCCTGACCACGCCTTCATGGTTTTGTTTGTAGGAACTCACGAGCAACTTCCCAATGGGTCACCCATCCTGGGATTGCTCTCGCGCACTACTCGCTTAACTTCGGAGTTCCAACAAAACCTGAAGCCAATGAGCTCCCAAAAGGTCTCGTTCTAGGTGGGGATGGGAATATACATATAAGAATCACTCCCTTGGGCGATGTGAAATCTTACAATCCACCCCCCTTAGGGGCCCGACGTCCTCGTCGGCACACCACTGCCAGGGTTAACCTTTGATACCAAATTGTCATATCCCGGCCCGAGCCCCCACCACATCCCAAGCTCGACTCAATTGTAGCACAATATTGTCCGCTTTGGGCCCCGACCACACCCTCACGGTTTTGTTTCTGGGAACTCACACAAGAACTTCCCAATGGGTCACCCATTCTGGGATTGCTCTCGTGCGAACTCGCTTAACTTCGGAGTTCATATGGAACCTGAAACCAGTGAGCTCCCAAAAGGCCTCGTTCTAGATGGGGATGTGAATATACATATAAGGATCACTCCCCAGGGCGATATGGGATCTTACAATCCACCCCTCTTAGGGGTCCGACATCCTCGTCGGCACACTTTCAGCCAGGGATTGGCTCTGATACCAAATTGTCACATCCCGACTCGAGCCCCCACCACATCACTGGCTCGACTCCACTTTCTTTTAGGGAGTGGATCTTGTAAGCCTTATATGTATATTCTCATCTCTACCTAGCAGGAGGCTTTTTGGGAGCTCACTGGCTTCGGGTTCCATGGGAACTCCGAAGTTAAGCGAGTAGTGCGCGAAAGCAATCCCATGATGGGTGACCCACTGGGAAGTTCTCGTGTGAGTCCCCAGAAACAAAATCGTGAGGGCGTGGTTAGGGCCCAAAGCGGACAATATCGTACTACGGTGGAGTCGAGCCCGGGATGTGGTGGGGGCCCGGGCCGGGATGTGACAATTTGGTATCAGAGTCTAACCCTGGCTGTGGTGTGCCGACGAGGACTTCGAGCCCCTAAGGGGGTTGGATTGGATTGTAAGATCCCACATCGTCCAGGGGATTTATATGTATATTCTTATGCTCACCTAGAACAAGATCCTTTGGGAGCTCACTGGCTTCGGGTGTTATAGGAACTCCGAAGTTAAGCGAGGGGGGTTGGATTGTAAGATCCCACATTGCCCAGTGGAGTGATCTTTATATCTATATTCTCATCCCCACCTAGAATGAAGCCCTTTGGAAGCTCACTAACTTCGAGTTCTATAGGAACTCCGAAGTTAAGCGAGTTCGCACGTGAGCAATCCCAGGATGGGTGACCCACTGAGAAGTTCTCGTGTGAGTTCCCAGAAACAAAACCGTGTTGGTGTGGTCGGGGCTCAAAGCGGACAATATCGTGCTACGGTGGAGTCGAGCTCGGGATGTGGTGGGGGTTCGGCTGGGATGTAACAGTAGGTATGGCATTCCACTGGTATACAAAATCCAATACCAAAGCCATACCATTAAATGTCGGTTCGATATAATGCCAACTGATTATGAAAAAAATACCAAAACTATACCATACAATTATGAATCGACCGGTATGGTTCGATTGGTAAATCGGTTTATGGCAAAATTTTCCACCCCTGCAACTCACTTTGCTACGCAAATGTTATCTCTCCTAGAGATACTCCAATAACACCATATATTTGCTAAGGAAATGCAGTCCGGCCTTGATTGCAATCAATGCCCAACTTGGAATCTCCCAAAAATAATATGTAGAAGCCTTGGAAATTTTTGGAAATTGAAATGAAAATATTATATGGGTTGGTTTGGGATTGTGGTGCTTTAAAAATAAAAATAAAAAAATAAAAAAAAGGTTATGAAAAAATTTGGAACATTAAATGTGTTTGGTTAAAAAAAATAAAAGTGTTTTAAAAAAATAAAAAACTATTGTCAATGGAAATAAAAAAGTAGAAGCAGGGTCTACTGTCACATGTTCATTTAACAAACTTTTCAAATAGCAAGTAGACCCTCACACGTTTTACAAAATTACAATCTTTGTCCCTATGTTATTGTCTTTGATAATTATTGTATCACATTACATACTATTTCTTTTTTAGTCATTTAACATATTCAAAACAATTTATATAAAAGTTTACCAAACACTCAAACACTACTTTTTACTTTTACAAACAAAAAAAAAATGTTTACCAAACACTTAACAACTTTGTTTTACAGCTGTTTATTCTCACAGCATATGCATTTTTTTAAAAAGCACAGCAATATCAAACTAGTCATATGTCACAAGTTGTGAAATTATGCAAAAGCCAAAAAAACACTCCATTAAATCACATAGTAACTATACTCAAGCTAATTGCTGGTTTGAGAAACGAATTCCACACAACCATAGAATTACTTTGATAGAGTGAAAAGGCCAATAAGACTTATCACA